TTTTTTTTTTTTTTTTTTTTTTTTTTTTTTTTTTTTTTTTTTTTTTTTTTTTTTTTTTTTTTTTTTTTTTTTTTCATAACGCACCATATCAGCACTAGTTTATCAATTTCTTTCCTAAAGTAGATTTCTTCATTGTTTTATGCATATCATGTACGTGGATTGATTATCTCAAATAAATGTAAGATTTTCTTCAAGATGTGTTATGCTACAAAAGAAAGTTGGACCTCACAAGCGCTCCCTCAAGTTAGTGTAGTTCACTTATGTTTAGTACTCAACACTCGAATCAATGTATCACTCCCTTTGCAAATTGACGATCACAATTGAACACATAAATCACATTCCAAAATAAATTGGGATGTGAGACAAAGTAAGTTAAAGAGTTAATGAAATTCCAAGTGATTAGATAGCACACTCAATACAGAAACAAGAATATTAAATGAACAATTTGAATAACAACGAGAAAATGAATTAAAGAAATAAGATGAATAAATATAACTCTTGGCCAAATAATGAATAATGGCGTTTAATTTCCATTAGTAACTTGTGAGAGTTGCATAACAACAAGAAAAAAAAGACATTTAACATCAAGCATCCATTTTTTTTTTTTTATGGGAAATAAAATGAAATTAAAAAATTGTTGAAAAAAGTGGATGTGAGGGTGAGAACTACCCACCCAGACCACTATCCTTCCACCAATTGGAGAGGAAAGTTACGTTGCTCTGAGAAGTCAGCCTCACGTGGTTTCCTCCGTTTCTAAGGACAACTACCCTTGGACCTTCGCCCAAGAACAACCCAACTCCCTACTTGGAACAGATAAATTGCTTCCTGGGCTTCCAGCTGATCTTAGCATTGAGAGGTCTCTTCCAATCTGCAAAGAACTGTTAAAAACCATTTCTCAATTCGGTGACTTTTCGCATTTTCTCTAACGGAGTCTCCTACTTTCTTCGTTGGAAAATTCTTCTTTGTGTGATGTCGTACCACCTCCTTGGGTTCGGTGTCTTCTTGGTTGGAATTGTGATGTTTCAAGTTACTAACGTAGACAACCAGGCTAGTTCCCATCCATGGGAGTAATTGGATCCTATATGATATGAGTCAACTTAGTAGAATAAGGTACTAACATATGGAGCAACTTTAGGAGAATTGTTAGTAGTTGTTTATGGACCAAGTTTAGTGCTTTAATTAGTAAGATTGTTAATGGTTTTGAATCTGAGGAGAAAGTTTAGGAAACTAGTTAGTGCTTTCTCCACTATAAATATTCATTAGATGTATGCTATTTTCCGAACAAAGAAAACTGAAAAGTATAAGTTCTTAAGGTTCTTCTATTCAAATGTGTGACACTGAGGTTGAGTTCATGGCAGCAACTCCAGCATTGTGCCAAGCATTGTGACTGAAAATTTTGTTGAGCGAAGGGACTAAAAGTGAACTAAAATCGGTAACTCTTTATGTTGATAGCAAATCTGCAATTGCACTGATAAAGAATTCGGTATTTCACAGACACATTGACACTCACTTCCACTTCATTTGGAGTGTGTCGAGAAGAGACAAATCATTGTGGAGTTCATATGCACTAGAGATCAACGTGCAGATATTCTAACCAAGACCCTAGCCAGGGCTAAGTTTGCAGAGATGCAAGAGTTGTTACCCTAACCAGAGCTAAGTTTGCAGAGATGCCGGAGTTGTTGAGAGTGAAGAATCTCGAACAAAATTAAGTTTATGGGGGGGAGAAGGTGAGCCAATAAACTTAACTTAGTAGAATAAGTTACTAATTACTAACTTATGAAGCAATTTTATGAGACTTGAGAGAGATTGTGAGACAATAAACTTAGTTACTAATTACTAACTTATGAAGCAATTTTAGGAGACTTTTTGAACAATTTTGAGCAACTTCAAGAGAATTGTTAGTAGTTGCCAAACCAAGTTTAGTTCTTTAATTTGGAAGATTGTCTTGATGTTTGTTTGTTCTGACATTTTCTGATCGATGGGTCACATCCAACATATGATGCATTCTCAACCTTTTTATGAGTTTAATAGCAAATTTAATTCTTTCCATGCCTCGGATCAGTCTATTACAAGCATTGAAATTTTAAGAAATACACAAATTCTTTTAAAGAGTAGATTTACAATTTGAATTATCACAACAATATCCTAACAATAGAATAAGAATTTCAAATTAAAAAAAACGCTACAATTCAAACATACTTCAAAGCTTCAATCTAAACAATTCCATGTTAAATAACTATTAAGACTAAACAACTATGCACCCCCAAATGCTTGCTTAATAGTTAAATTGATAAATATGATAACTTTAAGAAAGAAAGAATATATGGCAACAACTTCAGATTGAGCTCCATAATGCAAAACAATGTGTAAAGTAGTACACCCATAACACTTCTGATTACCTTTCTCTACTGTCCACTTCTGATTACTCGTGTGTACAAGCAAAGCGAACGTTGTATAATGTATCAATATTTCATTAGTAATTTGTATACCACATCATAATTCTATTAAATTGACTAACAAGAAAGATAATGATTTAGACACTAAAAGAGTGTTTTTCCCAAGATTAAATGTGGCAGTTCAAAGTTCAAAGCTCAACAGATCATATTTAAACCAAGTATTATATAATCCAAACTGTTCAATAAATTGTAGCAGTTATTATTGAGGACAAAGAGAAATCAAAACTAAGGCAATATAACAGAGCAGAGTTCCAGACAATTGAAAAATGTAAGCATCCAGCAAAATAATAATCCAGAACACAACCGGAACAATCACTTTCACACAAAGATTGTTGAAATGTAAGAGGCAAACGCCTAAACTGGATAAAAATGGTAGCTGAATGTAGCAAACATAGCCTAAGAATTTAAACTACTACAGGCAATTTAATGCCAAAGCTACTTAAGAAAAGGGCATTAAGGTTGGTTCGATTTTCTTATCGGTATTATACAACAATCTTTACTTCCAATTCTAAGAAACGCATCAAGTTCTGTTCCTTACCGCCAACACAATCTGACATCAGACAAACGGGACAAATTCTTGATCAATCTGGTTAGGCACAGCAGCCAATCATGCCGCTTTCTGGGTGACCTGCACCAAGCATTCATGAAGATAAACATCCAACAAAAAAAATGCCTGATTTAATTGGGTAAAAAGCGAATTTAACACTTCTATTCAAGAATTTAACACTAAAACAACTTCAATGTTTTACAATTTAGTCCACTTTAGTTTAAAATTTGTATCATTTTAATCCCAACTTTAGTATGGGATTATTAAATCGATTTAGTCCCCAACGTGAAAGATCTAGTTAGGATGTAATAGATGCTAACTTGACAACCCTTGAAATCCCATACAATAAAGGTCATGTTTGCACACAAGAGGGGGAAAAAAAAAAAAAAAAAAAAAAAA